CTATAGCATTTACCCCACTCGCATTGCGGTTGGTCATGGCCACGTTTGCTGTTGGACGGTTTTCGTCTATCTCACGGCCATTTATTTGGCTAAGTATAGTGGGGGTCGACGTCCTTGGCCTCATAATGGTAGACGGCCCATGCGAGCGTAGAGGGCCCCCGGGGGGTCGACGTCCTGGGAGGAGAGGGGGGCGTGCGTTAAGTAGCGATCATCGAGAAAATTTGTTAATACCATCTTATATCATACATCTTTATTATATTTTTTTCCCTTATATCGAGAGATGGAGTAATTGACGTTCAAGGTATAGAGAATGCCCTACAAATCGTAATGGGGATAAACAAAAAAGTCATTTTGTAAAGTCGAGTGATGATATCTCTTCTCTTTTCTGAAGGGGACAATTATAAACCTAACCTCAAGTTAAGTCGAGTAAAAAAAGTCAATACCAACATTCTAACTCGACAAGGGTCAAACTGACATGATTCAACCCACTATAGGTCAATCGGACCTCATTTTTCATAGGTTAAGTTAAAATTAAATAACACGTAATTAATAAATTGAACTTCCTTAGTGGCAAAAAAATTGATTCAAGTTATGTAAATATAATCAAATCTATTTTATCGGCTTTCGATGTATTTTACGCCATGCCTATTTAAGAATCTTTTGAGCTTAAAAGGAAACGCGCAAGAGAGATAAAAATGTAACATAATTTATTTGACATATACATGTCCTCCTTTTGTAAATTAACCGAGTTTTATGTGCGAAGGTCTAGTCTTTGACCTTTAAATAAAACTTCTTAGGACATTTCCATTTCTTTCAAAATAAAAAAAAAAAAATAATAATAATAATAAAAACAATGCAATTGTTGCTATATAAAAACTAAGAGAACTTGTTATATGTACATTTAAAACTTTTAAGTGTGTTTTTGACATATTAGAAATATTTGAGGGTGAGTTTACAATTACTGAACAAATAGAGAGTCCAACGGGTAGGGTTTTTCTGGTTAGGCTGAGCGTCATTGCAAGCAGCTTGCCCAGCGCGTTTTACAGAATTCTCCAACTTTTCAGGTAATATCTCTATTTGATTATGTTTGTATATATTTATATGTATATTTTCTGTTGTTTATTAGTATTGTTCATACTAGATTTCTCGTGATGGATCTGTGATTTTTTTATTTCTGTTGGCGTTATTG